TGGTGCCAGAGTAGTGCCCAGGTTATATTAGGAAGCTCGGGAGAGGTTATGACTCTCGGGCCCTGATCTGCAGCTTGACTCTTTCTCAGATGGTGAGGGTAGGTGTGGTGAAACAAGTGAATTGCCTATTGGAGTGTCATCAAGGCATAACAGATTGTAGGGAGGAAGTAAAGAAGGGGGGGATTGTATGATGTCTGTGCTTCAGTGTCGATTTGACTGAAAGCTTAGAATTAAAGAAGCTTTAAAGCATCTGTCTCATGTGTTTTGGGATTATTTCAGTATGACAGCAAATCATATCAGTTGGAGCAGATTAACTAGAGGCAGATGAAGTGAATACCAACCAACCAATCCAGGCTCCAGTATTATGTCTGGGCTTGGACTAGGGCTGGAGGCTATGAGCTGAGGGTCTCCAAGGACATAATCCCCTGAGGTTGGACCCAGCCCCTCATCGGGAACCTGACAAGAAAAAACAGAGAGACTCCACTGGAGGTGAACAATCAAAAGAACACTGACATTTTAGGGTTAGGGATAGGTTCAGACATACAGCAAATACATGCAGCATGTAGGTAGCCCCTGAAAGGACTACCAAGATGGAGTCTGTATACACAGTTTGGGGAAGGAGGGGATCATGTAAGCCACGGCAGTGGAACTTTTTGTACCTCAAGGGCCGCATAAGGACTTTGACATGGAACCCGGGGGTGCACAATGAATTACATTTTCATATCTTAAAGTGTTCACTTTAGGACACACAATTGATATATTTAATTAACCATTACATGAGGGAGAATTAAGATGATTTTAGGACTAACAGAAGGAAAAAGGGCACTTTGTGGACTGTGATCTTGGCAGCTCCTTCCCCAGCCGCCGCCCGAGCACAACGCCCGCTCCTCTGCAGTAGCCCATTCTTTCCTTCCCAGTTTCTCCAGACCAGAAGCCCTCCCTTGGGGCCCCCGGCCCCTCCTCCTTTTTGGAAGGGGCGTGCTGAGCCTCTTGTTCTTGAGCCAACGATCCCCTCCCAGCGAGCCCTGCTGCTCCTGCAAAGGCGCGCAGCTCCTGAGTGGGTCATGCGTTGGGCCACCTCAGACTAGACCGTCTTTCAGTGGAAGGCACGCCATGGTAGGACTTCTCATCTACTGCATGCGTTTTCTCTATCTGTGTCCGCTTCTCTTGCTTTTCTTTCTCTGTCTCTGCCCAGCGTGCTTCCCGGAGTACACCGAAAATGCCCGAGCATTCAGGGAAGTTCTGCGTGCTGAAGAGAGGGCCTGGAGGGGAAACACTGGCGGGCAGGGGCGTGTGGAGAGACCGGTGGAGCCATGGAAAGCACGGCGCAACTGGGGGCTGAGGCGGTTGCTTCAGATCGCAGAGGAGGAGTGCAAAGCAGGGTGTGGGGCCTAAGGGGAGAGGTGGTCAGCCAGACAGAGAGGCCCTGTGAGCTCTGTTTGACCCGTAGGCTTCCAGTTCCTCAACTCTGCCCTGTCCGGATGATTTCAGAGCTAGATTTGTTGTTGTTGTCACTGGATTTATGCGGACATCCAGCAACATGCTTTCTGGGCAACTGGCAAAGCAAAATAAAATGCAGTAAATATTATAATACAAAATAATTAAAACAGCTAAAGACCCATAATAAAATGCAGCCAAAACATTCATCTCTGGCAGGGAAAAAGTTAAACCATTTACTGAAATGACCAACACAGCTTTCACAGAAACCCTGGATTTTGCTTGTTTAAAATGCAAGATGTTTCAAAGGCCTGGCTGAAAGGTCTTCACCAGGAAGACTGGAGAGCCCAGTCTCTCAAGAGACAAGTCCTCAACTGGGATGCAATCACTAAGAGGGTCTTCTTTGTAGCAGCCACACCAGTTTCCCCTCAATCATACCTGGCAAGGTCAGCTGTTGTACCTGGAATGTAAAGCAGGTGCTTCACCACTGGTGCTGGTGGTGCAAGCTTTGTTGCTGCTGCATCTGCTGCCAGCATGTCCCCCCCCCGCCCCATGCACACACAGTCACCTGATGCATTGCCCAAACCTGCAGAGCCCTTTCCCTATGTTGCCCTCCAATTCTGCTGCTGCTGCTGGCCCTCTGGCTTGCATTGAGGATCCTCTCTGTGCAAGCTGGAGGGTGGGTATCTGAAGAGCCGCATTGGCCAGACAGTGTGCATTGCATCTTCTCAGGCTGCCAGCCAGGGCCACATTTCTGGTTCTGAAAGACTCTTTCCCCAGAGCTAGGCATGGTATGTTTGCAGGGGTGTCCCAGGGTATCTCACAGTGAAACAGGGTGGGCAGCTGGAGTGGAGAGTCAGCCTACCTTCCCTCTGTCGCTCCCAGTGGATTTGGAAATATTTTATTGGTTTGTTCTGAAAAATAATGTCATGGAATATAATCTACTGTCCATACTATTACACTCTTTGCTAGTAAAGAGGGTCTGAACTAATGTTCTTGTCATGCTCAATCAGCTTCTGTAGCTGGTTGGGAAACCCTTGGAATTAAGATGAAAACAATCTGCTGCTTAATGATGGAGGCCTCCTTATTGGCTTATTTGCTGGCATTTGGACTATTTTTCTCCTATCCATTGGGAAACTGCTTCAGGTGAAGGTGAGAAAACTTAAATAATTATAGGATGCTATCCCAAAATTAATAATTACCCAGAAATTATCTTCCATTTTATTTCATTTCTATACTACGCAATAGGCAAAGCTCTCTGGGCAGTTTAGAAAGATTAAAAAACCTTAATTGCAATATTGTGCAATAAGAACTATTTATGTACAAACATCACACACACCCCTAAGCAATTTTGCAACTAACAATAAGAAACACTAATCAGTGTTTGGGTGAGTTATTCAGAAATGCTGAGATGCAACAGTAGTTCTTTTGAAAACAGGACAAGATCTGTAGTATATAATATAGTCTGTTGTGATAAGAACCAATGGTTTTAAAAACTTTTTATTAATTAATTAATTGAATTTCTATCCTGCCTACTAGCCAAATCGACACTCTCTCTTGCTCTCACATTTCACAACCCATCTCAGTGTAAAACAAATTGCGTTTTCAGCAGAATGTGGAATGTTGGCATACTTCTGTTAACAATTGTGATATTACCATATAGGAATGAGAGAGGATAGGAGAAATAAGTATGATATTCTAAATTATATGATCCACAAAGCTGTCTCTCTAAAGCAGTGATGGGAAATATGATCTTATTTATTTATTTATTTATTTATTTATTTATTTATTTATTTATTTATTTATGAAGCTTCTATGCCGCCCCATTCGCTGAAGCCTCGGGGTGGCTTTCAGATTTTTTTCCGTTGCATGTCTCATCATCCATCACCATTGACTATGCTGGCAAAGGCAGATGGGAACTGCAGTCTAAGGGCTTCTGGAGGGCCACACTTTTCCCCATCACTTCTTTGTCATGTCCATCAAAGCTTGCTTACACAATACAGTTTTCAGCTAGCAGGCTCCCCAGGTGTCTTAATACCTCACAGCTAGCCACCCATAGAATTTTTTTTCAGCACTTGCTTCCATCTTCTCTGGTGTCTCGTGATTTGCTCTGTTTGAAGTCTGTGAGCTGGTGACCTAGGTGCCTGTCCAGTGTGACGTTATGACGGGCTGCCTGAAGACTCCATATCTCCCTTCTTTTAGACCTTTTCCTTGAAAGCAGCCTTTGACACTGGCCTTGGATCAAAGGATAACCTCAGGGGAAGGGCTATCTTCTAACAGCTCTCCAAGTAGTCTTCCTTCTACAAGATACGATTCGTGACCTTGACCTGTCACTGCGATGACGATTTGACCAGGATCTCTCAGTCTTTCCCAGTCCATTTGGTGGTCACTTATGAATAGCCAATAAAGAGGAAATGAATCACCAATAAAAGAGAATAATGATTTGCATTTGGCTGGTGGCCCATTGGTTGGTGGCTCAGCTATGCCCTCATCTGGACAACCAGGCTTCAACTTGTAACTTCCCAGTTAGATTACTGCCATGCATTCTGCAGGGGGCTGCTCTTGAAGACTATTCAGGGGATGCAACTTATGCACAATGTGGTGACCAGACTAATAGCTGGGACAAAAGGGTCTCAACATATCATACCCAGCCTAGCCCACTTGAACTGGCCACCTGTTTGCTTCCAAGCCCAATTCAAGATGCTGGTTTTAACCTGTAAAGCCTTACACAGCTTGGGATCAAAATACTTGATGGAACATCTCTCCCAACCTGAATCTACTATAAGTGTATGAGAACTTATTCTGGGTGCCATCTCCAAGAGAGGCTTGGGGATGCCATCAGGGAGAAGGCCTTCTCAGTGGTGGCTCCCCAATTGTGAAGTGATCTCCCCATTGAGGTCTGCCTAGGACCAACACTATCATGGTGGGACTTAGGGCATTAATGTCAGCAGTCTGTTAACCTGCCCAACATTTTAAAATTGATTTTAGCTGTTTGTTTTACATTTTGCATATTGAAGTTGTATATGGTGCTTTGTTTGTGGTTTGGAATTTTTGGAATTGTGAACCACCTGGAGAACTTTGGCTATTAGGTAGCATAGAAAGTGGCAGCTTCATGTGCTAATTTGTGTGGATAGATCACATTTAGAAATTAGTATTAAAACTTAAACAGAAATACAGTACATGTCACCAGAGAATGGAAGACTGCAACCAGGTGACCTGTGTGTCTGGCTGTTCAGCCCATGCTATCCAGGCGCTAACTTTGGATGGATATTAGTTCTTAATTTCATTATCTTTAAACTGGAATTGGAGATAGAGCCCTGCAGAGGAAGATGCTCTGGCAGCCCTTCTAACAGAGGACTGTGTTTTGTAAACGAGAACATCCGGCCACCCTGTGCTGCTGCCTCTTCCTAAGTGGAAGCAGGACCTAAGTGGATACATTAGAAGTAATGAACAGTAGCTTAAAATATTTGTAAATTTTTATTATTATTCTGGGCCTGGGAATGCAAGTCCACATTCTTCTATGTAGGCAGACTTTTGCTTAGTTTTAGAGGCTGAGGATATTTTCAGGCCTGTGCTTGGCCTCTTTCTGTTCCCTCTGGTTTGCTTTCTTCAGCCTTCAAAGCTTTCTCAAGAAATGCATGGATGGGTGCTGAGGATTTCTGCCACTCCCAGTTTCCAACAAAGAAGTATACTAAAGGGTTGCAAGTACTATTGAGAGAATCCATAAGGAGAGAAATGTTCTGCAACATATACGTATCTATTTTGTGAATCCAAAAGGTCAGGATATGAGCAATTCTAAGTGGTGCGTTAAGTATAAGAAATAGTAGAACCATGGCCACAATGGTGATATCAAGCCTAGCTCGAAGAGTTCCCTCTTTTCTTTTCGGTATCCTGATCCATATGGCCAAGGTGCAACTGAATATGATTGGAAAAAAGATAATCAACTCAATGATTATTTCCATTATTGTTGATGTCCGACAAGCCACAAAAAAGACGTGAAAATTTATTTGGAATCTAGGAAAGCAGGCATAGTAATCCACAAACGATACCATAAAGGACAGACCCCACAGTATACTAACTCCGAAGTGTGAGAAATTATTGGGCCTGTGTGATCGGTACCAGTCTGGAAAATAGATAGAACAGCACCTTTCCACAGCAACACCTGTGAACATGTAGAAGCTGGTGTCATAGCCACATATGTGCAGAATCTGCATTACACGTTGGAATATTAAACGGGGAGTGATTTGTGCAAAATATAAAATGATAATGACAAAGTTGCAGAAGATGATAAGGAGATTTGCAACGGTCACACTAAAGAAATACAGGCTTAACTTAATCTTGACCTTGCAGCAGAGAAGCCAAAAGATAGCTCCATTCCCAATCAGTCCCACGGCACAGATTGGAATAGATGTTAGCAGCATTCTTTCTTGCAAATTGAATGTCAGATCCACAATTCTGTTCATTTTCCTCACTTCACCAGCAGGGTGAGAAGATGCGGTGCTCACCTCTGTCATCATCATGTTGTCAAAATTCTTCTCAGCCTGCCAAAGTCAAACGCAAATTACTGTTGTTACAGTGTTGTCATACTGGCACAGGAGTAGGAAAGTTTCTAACAGTGTTGGCTAGGAAGGGCCACCTGGGGACCAGACCCCTCCCTCCCTCCCTCCCTCCAAGCTGGGTTGGCTGCTTGGCATGGCTTTGTGAGGCACATTCCAGACCCTTTCCTTTGAGGGACCTTTGGCACACAGGAAAGATCAATTGGGAGCAATAATTATGGTGGGTAATGGCAGTGGTGAAGGTAGGGCCCCACATTATGCATTTCGTTGTTATTTTTGTCATCAAGTTGAAGTGCACAAGTTGTTGAGGTGCACAATTTAGGTCTCCCTGAAATTTTGACAATTATGTGCAAATTAGCCTACATGCAGTTTTGCCTTGTCAATCTGCTACCTATTCCTTTTGAAAGCTGATGCATACAGGGCAATTGACAATGCAAGATCAAACATATCATCATCATCACATCATCATTTCTATACTGTCTGTAGCTGAAGCTCTGGGCAGTTCACAACATTTAAGTCACCCATCCAGATTTCAGCCAAGCCTGACCCTGCTTAGCTTCCAAGATTAGGCAGGATCAGGTACTTCAGGCTATATGGAAGCTATATGTATCTGAGGGCCAGTGTGGCTAGTGCTTCTTGTTTGTAAATGACTAGCTGTATGTTTCTGAAGGTAACATTTTGGGATACTATGGCAACTTGTTGAAACTGTGAGCAACTCTTGTCCCAACAGGAACCAAGGCAGTCAAAATCTGCAATTAATGGATGCCTTCAGAATGAAACCTTTGGGGTGGACACACACCCAGGAGAATGAGGAGGCCCCCTTTCCAGAAGACGGTGTGTTACCAAGTCAAGTCTAAAACTACCTCACTGTGACCCAGTTGGTGACTGCGAACAGTACACTCCTGGGCCTCTGTGCTGATGGTCTTGCAAAGGCAGCTGGAGGCAAAGGGGCTACAGTACAGGTCTACTGGGACTTCCTGTGACCTCCAGTTCTTTTCTGTGGGTGAAAGGCAGAAATGCGGAGCAGCAGTATTGACAGGGCATCCATGGTAGGTGTGGGTCCTTTGCAGGGTACCTGACATAGATACCCTCTGTTTCATGCCAAACCTTCCAGAAAGCAGATCTGAAAGATCCTGATTCTACTGTCCCTTTGACCTGACTCCAGTTAGATCGGAGCTAAGCCCAGTGGACTGAAGGAACTGAAGGACAAATTCCATAGTCCTTAGGTGCAAGCCCTGGATGTAGTGAGGGGCCTACCAGTATGTGGTTAATGGGAACTTGGTGACTGGCAATTTGAGGGTCAGACTTAGATGGAGCCATCTGAGGTAGAAAACACGCTTTGTCATATTTCTCATGAATGACACTCAAGCAACTGGGAGTCAGAGGTGAATGCTGAAGCCTTACTTTTGGAAAGAGCCATTCAGAAGCAAGTGGCTGATGGATATCTGGCTTTCTCTCCTTGTCTGCTTCCCTCTTCCTCCTCTACCACTCCCATCTGTCCTGCATCATAGAAGATCATACATCACAGAAGGTGGAAGATGGGAATGCTATTTGTCCCAGACTGGCATCAAAGGAAAGTATGGTTGGACACTTGTCAAGGGCTCACACCTCAGCAGAGACTGATTAGTAGTAGCCCCCGGACATCATTGCAACCTGCTTGTCCTTTGCAACTGGCTTGTTCGCTGGTCTTTCACTCCAGCCCAAGACAACAGTGGTGGTGAGAAGGAAAATCAATAAATAGATGCCACAGCCCATTTGCTGTCAGACTCTGCCCATTGAGCAAGAGAGAGTCATGATGAGTGAGAAGATGAGAAGGGCCCCACTGAGGAAGTCTCACCCAAGTGTCCTCCAAACCCTGCCACTGGCACTGCTGTGTACAACAATCTACTTAATGATCTGGTCACTGACTGGATATTCCTAGAAGGTCTAAATAATATACAATTAATATTACGTGTGGCGGAATCCCATGAAGCTTCTGCAGCAGGCTTGATGGGGCTAATAGGCAAGGAGGCTTTTAAAAATGATAGTGGTGATGGATCCACTGGATGGAAGAGTCAGTACTAACATGGGTCCGCTCCAGTTTTCTCTTCAGCCTTCTTTGGTGAGGGGCCTGCTCTTCTCTGTAGCATACTGCTGCAGAGATGTGATCAGCTCCACTATTGTGAGGTGCTCTCTCTGTAACAAATGGAATCCTAGAATCTCATGACTTCACAGTAACTGTTAGCCAAAGGGAGGCTCAGCTCATTGTGATATGCAATTAAATTTGGCTTCAGATCAAACTGGACAGGGATAGCTGGATTATTGCAAAGTGTTATCCATGGGGCTACTTTTGAAAATGATCCAGAAACTTCACCTGGTCCAAAAAAGGACAGCAAGATTTCCATCAGGTAGTGGTCAATGTGATCACAGGCCAGTACTCCATCTGCACTGGCTGCTAATCCATGTCCATCCCCAAATCAAAACACTAGTGTTAACATTCAGAGTGAAAATGGCTTGGATAGAGGTTACCTGAAGTATCTTCTCCTCCCATGTATAGCTGCCCAGACCCTAAGATCATCCTCAGTAGTCCTTCTCTGGAAGCAGTTGCCAAAGGAAGTGAGATGGACAGTTACTAATAAGCAGTCCTTTTCTTCTCTGGCACCCTGGTGGTTAAAATGAACTTCCCACAGAGGCTTCCCTGGCACCAGTGTTGTGCAGCACTTTCTTATTGTCTTAGTAATTTTAGTCTTTCACTCTCTGTTTTAAATCCTTCACTATATTTTACATCTTTGTACTACCATGAGGGTTTACTTTGACTTATATTTCTATTTAAACTATAGTTTTAAACACTTGTAGTATATTTTGTAAGTTTAATTGATGTGAATTGCCGAGAGAGCTTTGGCTATTGGGCAGTACAGAAACGGGAAAATCAACATCCCAGACCCTCACGCACGAGTCCTCAGTTGACGGGTTAACACTCTTCCACCCACACCTTATTGCCATGCAGGCAGCATCACTAAAGGTGCAATCTTACAGCATCCCAACATTGTCTGGGAGGCTAGGAGTATTTGGAGCCCCAGTACCCAAGTCTGTGAACTTAGAGCTGGGACTCCAGACATGGAGATACTGCCCTGCCCCCTTGCAACCAGCACAGAAAGAACCATGCTGGCTCCACTTTGAGGTCAGAAATCACTTTTGGAGAGGAAGAAAAGGGGTGTGCTGGGGGGAGTGAAGGGATGGGAGAAGGCTGGAGCCAATGGCGTTTGCTGTATCCAAATGGCACCCCAGCCCTTTTCACTCCACTTCCACAGTGTTAGCCATCTAGATGGCCAGCAGTATTTCAGATGTAAATGTTATTCTTGATAGACCACAGTGCTATCAGATTCAGGGTATAAGATTATCAAGAAGATCTACCACAGTCACATCTGTCTTCAAAAGAGAAATCTTCTCTAAAGGGAAGTGGTAAAAGGAAATTATAAGAGGGAGTCTAGAGGCTTAGGTCCCTTCAAAAAGCTTGGAGATTACTCAGAATTACAATAACAGAAGCTCAGATAGTATGCATGCCACTGATGTTTAACAGACTCTCTCTCCATAGACTCCTGAGCAAACTTAGTCATCATGGAATAGTCATGGAATAGGAGGGACATTAACTGATAAAGGACAGGAAGCAAACAGTAGGAATAAAGGGTACATTTTCCCAGTAGAGGAATGCAAACAGTGGGGACCGACCTGTATTGAGACCAATGCTTTTCAGCTTATTCATAAATCATCAGGAATTAGGTGTGAGCGGTAAAGTGGCCAGGTTTGCTGATGACACCAAGCTCTTCAGGGTGGTTAAAATAAAAAGTTCAAAAGGATCTCTCCAAGCTGGGAGAATAGCCATCAAAATGGATAATGTAGTTCAGTGTAAGTAGGTGTAAAGTAATGTGTCTTAGAGCGAAAAAAAATCTCAATTATCTCAACTATCATAACAATCTCAAATATCTCCCAGGGCTTGGCTCCCAAACTCCAGGCCACTTTCTCATGGCTGTAAGACCAACTTTCTGATGAATGCCTAAGTGTCCCTCTTCTGTGCATGTGACCTGTGCCTTTGTTGGTGCTGAATGTGTTGCAGAAGCCTGCTGGTTGTGCAACTTCCGTACTGACTATGGAAACTACAAAGCTTACTGACTTCCGCAAGTGTTCATGGAATTCCTCTGTGAGGGCTGAGCATGGGAAGCAGTCCCATGGACTGAAGAGAGATGAATTTCAGGGAAGATCACCACAACCTTAGACTACTGTGTACAGTTCTGGTCACCACACCTAAAGAGTATTTTGTAGAGTTGGGAAAAGTTGGGGGAGAAAGGGCTATTAAAATGATTAAGGGGCTGGAGCAACTCCCTTGTGAGGAAATACTACAACAGCCTAGCTTTTTTAGCTGTGAAAAGGGTAAGAGGAGACATGATAGTGGTGTACAAACAGATTCATAGTGTGGAGAAGGCAACTTTTTCTTTCTTTCTCATAATACCAGAGCATAGATCATCCCATGTAGCTGTTTGGTGGGAGATTCAGGACAGAAAAAAGGAAGTACTTCTTCACACAACACATAGATATGGAAATTGCTATCACAAGATGTAGTGATGTGCTCCAATCTGGACAACTTTAAAGAGATTGGACAGATACATGAAAGAGGAGCCTATCAATGGCTGCTAGTCCTCTTGGCTACATACTACCTACAGCTCAGGGGTGGTCATATATATGGCACCAGTTGCTGGGGAACTTGGGTGGAAGAGTGCTTTTGCACTTTTGTTCTAGTTATGGGATCCTGATGGCAGCTTGGCTGGCCACTGTGTGAACAGGAATGCTGGACTAGATGGACTCTTGATCTGATCCAACAGGGCTCTTACAAAGCTCCAGGCTATGGGCAGGTAGGTGCTCAGTGTTGTCTCTCATTTCAGGCCCAAATAAACAAACTCCAGATTCACATCTTCATTTTGACCCACAATATGATGGCTTAACTGAGCCACCAGGGCACCAGTTTTATAACCGAACCCCCACTTGTAGGTTGTCATGCTGTCCAAACTTGATGAGTATAGCTTGTTGGTGTGGTTAACAAAACAGTGAGAATCCATGGGGCTGTTTTAGAGTTGTGGTTAACAAACAATCCACCTTCACCAGTTCTGGATGACAAAGCTACCTGCAAGCGGGTTTGGTCATGAAATAGGTGACTGCAATGCCTGGCATGTGTTCCAAACCATCACCGTTCATTTCAGCCATTGTTCTTCAAAATGACAGTGCAAACCACATCTCTCTCTCATTAAGGATATCAGGCCGCTTGCTGTGGGCCTCTGTGATGAGAGGCTGTGCACCCTGTGACTGCCTCTTCTCAGCAGCTCTGGTTTGCGAACAAGTAAGGGCCTACCCCACACCCTTGCAGGAGAGGGATTAAAAAAGAAAAAAAAAATGGAAAAACTCCCACCTCTTTTTTTAAAACATTCTCTCCCAGGAGTGGATGAATATAATTTCAGGATAACAATGGGGTGGGGAAGGTTCAAGTGAGATAGTTCTTTTGAAGTTTGATGGTTCTGATCCAAATGGGAGCCGAGTATGCTTGCACAAGAGTAGGGGAGCAAGTGCACTGCATTTGGGTGATTAGGAGAATTTGGCCCTGAGCTTTAAGAAAGGCATCTCAGCCTTTTAGAATGTAAAAATTGCACAAATATTGGGAAACCTAAACAACTGGTAGTGCGTGTAGGGGCTTGAGGAGAACCTGAGACCCCAGGAGGGCTGAATTTAGCCCCTAGGCCTAAGGGTCTGTGTGTTTGCAGCCGTGATCACTCCATAGTTACTGGGCATACAGATTAGGAGTGGAATCCTGTGCATGTTTACTCTGAATTAAGCCCCCTCTCTTAGATGGGTTTTACTCCCAATAAGTGAATATAGGATTGCAGCCTGAGTTTGAGATGAGAACAGAGATTGGTATAAGGCTGCTGCTGTTCCAAATTCAACAGCATTCCTTTGTGCAGTTCCTACAGGAGAGGATGCCTGTGAAATATTTCTCAGAAGAGAGGATTCAGGTTCTTTTACTCCTGGAGTGCCATTTTCTGGTAAAGAGTATACAGAGAAAATTATTTTATTTTTTTAAAAATTCCTCTCTGTCAGCCTTATGATATTACTTCTCCTGCTTGCTTTGGGAGAAAAGAAACAAACTTGCACTTACCAGTCAAGAGTGTTGAGAAACAATGGCATTTCATTTGAACATAGTAGAAAAGTTCTTCCACAGCCATGTATTCACTTTGAGATTAAAACACAAACTTAATTATAGTTCAAACCCCAGTTCAGTGCAAATGGAAATATATTTTCAACAAAGTTCAATGTAACAGGATGGTAGGGATACTTGCACAACAACTGTGCTATGAGGAGGGGAGGGGAGGGGAGGGACAATTGACGATTTCTTAAAATTCATACATTCCACTATCGACACCAAGCCCTCTCTGTCAGGTCTAATCCAAGCTTTGCTCAGAGAATCTTCCTTCTCTGTATACACATTTTAATTTGGCTTCTGAGGCTCAGACAATTTTCAGGCCTGCTCTTTGTCTGCTTCCGTTCTCTCTTCCATGGTTTCTTCAAACTGCACAGCTCTCTCAAGAAACTTACTGATGGGCTCCGAGGCCCTCTTCCAACACCCAACTGTTAGAAATATAAGAGGTATAACCATGCAGTTGATCGTATCGAACATATGAACTGCTACAGTGAAAGCAAATGAATTCGCACCCTCAATCCAAAATAGGATGACATCAGTCACTCTTATGGGCGTGTCAGTGAGAAGGAACAGAAGAACTGTAGCCACAATGGTGATATCAAGCCGTGCTGGAGAGGTTTGCTGTCTCTTCATGCTGATCAAAATGGCCACAGTGGATAAGACCATGCTGGTGAGAAGAATCAGGATCTCAATAATGAGCCTCAATATACTTGTCATTGAACATATGACCACAAATTCATCGAAGGTGGCATAGAAATGTGTAAGGCAGGTGAGATCATTTGCCAGTGTAATTGCACAGGACAAGGCCCCCAAAGCGCCAGTTACCATGACTGAGAAATACTGTGGTCGGTAGCGTTTATCACAAACCGGGTAAAAGATCATGACATACCTTTCAACACAGATAGCTGTTAAGATATAGAATCTGGTGTTGTATCCTAATACTTCCAGCATTTCTATTATATGTAAAGCAAAAGCACTGATATCCCACTCAAAAAAATACCTAAAAAAATATATAAAATGGTTAATGAGTACAGTCATATTAGCAATATTAATAGTCTGGAAATACACAGTAAACCTAGAGTTCTCGATCATGTAGAAGAAAAGATAGGCGATGATTCCGTTCCCGATTATTCCCAAGATCCCTAATGGAAAGCAGATGATCATAAAGTTTTCTTCAAAAATGTATGCAGCATCCACTTCAGCCTGAATTTCCTTGGATGAAGTAGCGACTGAAGCAATGGGTGAAGACACAGTGCTTAATTCTGTCATGATGACACTATTGGCAAGTTCAGCAATTCTTCTCCAACTGTCAAATCAAACACAATTTGTCATTAAGCTTTTGTAAGGAAAGCAGAAATCTTTCAAAAGAGACCACTTTTACACAAGGGCATTTATGTTTTATATTCTGCTCCCACAAAGTTTGGCCAGAAAGGGCAACTTGGCATTCAGGCCCCTTTGACTGGCTGCTCAGTACAGAGTTGATGAGGGGATTTCCAAATTCACGTGCAGCAGGGATGGAGTACCCGTGGCCCTGCAGATGATGTTGGCCTTCCAACTTCCATCAGGCCCAGGTGGATCAGTAGTCAGGAATGACGGGAATTATAGTCCAGCAGTATCATCCAATATCTAGAGGGCTACAGATTACCCACCCTTGATTTACAGGATGCAGAGATAATTGCATAGTACAAAACCTGTGTGACATAATTGCCTTAAACACAGAAAAAATATTACAGCTGCTGACCCATCTTCTGTAATTACCTGGTGTGTTAAAATGCAGCACACCTTAGGTGGGATCCAAACTGGGGTACTTTGAATTTGGAATTTCAATACCTTCAGTTCTGTATAAATGTGAGCTGCTGAGAACAGCACTATATAAATTTGGTATATCTAACTGTGGTAATATATTTTTGTAGATACAAAGGAATATGCTTTTATATGATTTCAAGATGATGTGGAATACCACCATGGCTTGTTGAAGTGGCATTTATTTTTTTGTTAAGGGATTAATTTGTTAATTCTTTGTTGACTAGGTTCACATGACAGGACAAGCAGCAAATGATAATAGACAACAGTTGTTATGTTATTCAAATTAGCCATGGTAAGCAACTGTTGGCTCATATGGTTTGCAGTTGTGATAATGAATCAACAAATTGTTGTTTGGTTTGTCTAATCTGTGACAAATTGTTGTAACATCCAAAGCTGGACAAGGTGACCCATTGTGAGACAAGCTCCCACAACAAGCAAGCCAATTGGCAAGAGTGGCAAAATATCCTTCCTGCTTTTGTACAGGGGCCAGCTGGAGAGTGTAATTGACAGCCTAGCTCCTCCAAAGTGCCAAGCTGGCCTGTGCGAATGGTAGTCAGGGGCATCCCTATGCTTGGGGCAGCTGTGCAGAGTGGCAGTATCATTTTGGCCTCCTGCTGAAGAGGTCTACTCATGAGCAGGAGGCAGTGCTGCTAGTTCTGCTGCTCTAAGCACAGGACAGTGGCACAGAGTGGATCCCCTTGAGAGATTTACTCTCCAGCTATAGGAGGGATGCCAGTTCCTCTCTGCTACCCAAGCACTGAGCAGCAACACAAAGCACATCTTGCACTCTTGCTGGCTGCACAAAAGTCTACTCTTGAGCAGGAGGGGGTCAGAGCCACTCCACACCACTGCTCTGAGCACCAAGCCTGGGATGCTTTCCCCAGTCCATGCAACCTTGCAACCCTGCCTCCCGCTTGAAAGAAAAGTTCTCCCCAAGGCTCCACATGGCAGTCCAGGACACGGCCCCGTTTGTGCAATGAGGCACACAAGAATGTGTCACTCAAGGAAGCAATGGATCTGGCCTTTTGCAGATTGCCCCAGTTGACCCTGGATGCTGACCCCACTGCACTTCAGAACATGGGATTTGATTTTGCAGTGGGAACTCTCTGACAGCCACGCTGAGCCAAAATCAGCTCGAGATTGCAGCTACCAACAAGAGGAGACGCATTTCTCCACACAGCACCCTGCAAGGAGAAACAAGGGGCAAAGGTGAGGGAGCCAAGCACCTACGATAAGCCCTCTTATCTGCTGGACTCATCTTTGGTACTGAACAACACCGCATCATGCCAGTTGACCAGGAGGGGTTGCTATTATATGTGAACCGTTCTGATACCTTTGGATTATGGTAATGCACGCTACCTGGGCCTTCTTTTGAAGATGGTTCAGAAACTCCAGTTGGTTCCAAATAGGGCAGCGAGGCTACTGCTGAGGCCCGGCCAATATGAACATATAATGTCAGCCCTCTTTCAACTTCACTGGTTACCAACTGAATTCCAGGCATGATTCAAAGTGTTCACATTAATATTTAAATCTCTGAATGACTTGGGGTTGGTTATCTAAAGGAATTCTTCCTCCCATATGTGCCTACCCAGATCCTAAGATCATTCTTTGAGGTCCTTCTCAGCCCCCTCTGAAGGAAATGAAGGTGGCTAGAAGGGGAAGAGTCTTTTTGGTGATGGCACCCCAACTCTGAAATCAGCTCCCCAAAGAGGTTTGCCTGGCACCCTTTCTTTACTCCTTTCAGCATCAGGCAAAGACCTTTTTATTTGCCCAATGTTTTAACAGAGCAATTTTTAGAAAGTATCTTATCACTACTCTGCCCTTGGCAAAATTTGAATTCTGTCTGTTATGGGGTTTTATTGAGAGGTTTCTTGTGTTTTACTGTTGCTATTTTACTGTTGTAGTGTTTAAGCTAGTTTTAAGATTATTGCTTTATTGTGTATGCTGTTTTATATTTCCTTTTTTTTAATTTTATTAAATTTTTTAAACTAATACTAAAAACATTAATCATTACATACATTGGATTTACTGGGTCAACCCCCTACTACATATTTTTTAACATTCTATAGTCATATTTAAATCAGTATATAATAACTTGAAAACATCTCTAAATTTACACCAAGTCCCGTTTCTCCAGACAATTATAAAAGAAATCCCAAGTTTGATAGAAGTCTGTTTTATATTTCCTTAAGACACCCAAAGAGCCATTTTGGCTAATGGGTGGGCAAGAAATTCTAGAAATAAATAATTGTCTTCATATTAAAGTGGTAATGAGACAAGGCGCATAGCTACAAGAAAGAGAACCATTTCAGTGTTGGCACCCTTGTTATGAAATGGTCTCAAAGAAGCTCATCTGGTGCCAGTGTTACTGTTTTTCCAGTTAAGGGAAACCATTTTTATTCTCCCAGGCTTTAAAAGAAGTATTTTAGTGGTTTGAGTATGTTATTTTGCTGTTGGTTTTAATTTTGTTTTTGTGCTGAGATAATTTTATTCTTTGATATTGATTTAATCTTGATTTTATTGAGGGCTATTTTTTGTTTTAATGCTTTCATTTTATGACTTTAATGTATTGTACACTGTCCAGACAACTCCGTGTATTGGGTGGCTTAAAAGCACAATAAATGAAATAATAAATAAATAATAGCTGCTTTCTTTCTAAAAGAAATGCTCAAAGTATTTGTAATGGAATGGCAGAGAACAAGCAAAAACTTGCCACAAGATTGCACATTGTATGTCATCTTTGGGTTTTAATGAATTTTTTGTTGTGTACATCTGAAATAAAATTTTGAGCAAGAAAATTTTGTAATAAGCAATATTCATTCTAGGGGATTCAGTATCTTGGGTTCCAACACCTAACTGCCCCACAATTGCAAAGCTTCTTTCTATTTGACACTGACTCTGTGTCCTCTGAATGTGAAGAATTATAGCTCACAGCATCTTCCACTCAGTCATGCTGGCTGGGGATGCTGGGAGTTGTAGTCCATTACATCTGGAGGGCACTAGATTAGAGCTGGCTGAAATAACACATAATTATCTTTTTTTTGAACGTGATCTCCTTATCCCATTGCTCTTTGCTCAGCAACAAATGAGGAAACAAGCAACTATTCTGCACCTTTTTTGGAACATATAATGTGTCCTGATGCAACTGAGGAGAACATAAGTGAATGGATCTGAAAGGTGTGCTGATTCCTTTCTAAAGTCGTCTTTAACATAGAAATAAACTATCTCTGCAATAAGCTAGCCTTGCAAACAAGATGCAGTCCCCTTTTCACCTTGCTGCCATAATCAGCCACACAGAAAGAAAATAAGTTATGACTTGATGCCTGGGCTTGTCAGTGTTGCAGAGCGGCAGCCCAAGATGCCTCCACTCGGGATTACATCTGGGTAGGGAGCAGAGATGAAGAGATGGGCTGAGCGTGACAAGCAGATTCCAGGCCTGGCATTCCTGAAGGACACCTGTCTTAGGCTCCCTGGTTTTATCCTCTCCAGGATGTGACTTAGCCATAATCATTGTACTGAAAGAACTCTAACCTAGATATCTATCTGGGCAAAGGCCATAGCATTCCTGAGGAATCCGGTGACCCCCTCCCCCCAAACAGGGACCCGTCAGTATCTGTCTGTTGGGATTGATTGCCCAGATAACAGTTATTACTAACATCGTGGCCTCTTGAGCTATCCTTGCCAAATGTCAGAGAATGCAAGTAAATAAATGGAAGGAAGGGTGTAGATACACCAGTCTTACCCTTTCAACCTTGCTTGCTTGTACTTCTGATCTTCTCAAGAGTTCCATCCATCCTGCTATCCTTCACTATGATGACATGTTCCTCATGGCACAAATGGAATGTAAGAATCTCATGACCTCACAGGAATTGTTAGCCTCAATGTGAAAAGATGTTCACAGTGGCTTCTACCTAGAATAACTGCATTCTGGCTGTTGCCCTGGCGGTGAGCATTGCCAAAGAGCAGCATGCATCTGGTGGCAAGCCTGAGAGTATGTGCCTGGAACAGCCCAGGGGTTAAGCCAGAAGACCAGAAGCCAGGAGTGAAATCGCTGAGCAGGAGCATAGGGCAGAGTCGGGATAAGGGTGAAAGTGGAAGTCAGGATGAAAGACAGAAGACCTTCATGCCAGGAGGAACAGACAAGCTGCCTTTGACCCAACAGTCTTCTTGGTGACTGACTTTCCTGCAAGAGTCCGTCAATTGGATCAGGCTCTACAGATGTAGCTAACTTGGGAACAAAACAGATCAAGTTCTGCAGAGCATCCCACTTTTCTCTGGTTCTTCATTAAATGCTAAAGGACTAAAACCCAGAGGCCTGACGTTCACAGAAGCCCAACCACCCATGCTGCCCTGACACTCGCTTACCCCATCCTTATAGATGGCCTGCACCTGAAGACAGAGGAGAGGCCTCTTTGATATTTGCCAGATGGTTTTGATATTAGATTCACAGCTTGTTATGGGACTGAAGTGCAGGACGCTATTTGATTGTTGAGGTTGGCCGATAGAGACTGGCATGATGGTGCCATATGGCTCTGAAGAATGTTCCACACTCAGAGAGGACATTGAGTGTAGTGGCACCTATTGTGTGGAATAATAATCTCCTGACGCTTTACATGCCCAACACTGTTTATTATAAGGTGGATGTTTCATCTGCTTCTGCAAGTTTTCCTTATCTAGTGTATCCTTCTATCATATGTAGAGACAATATATTCTCCATATTCATCTTTATTTTTGTTTCTAAGATTTGTGTACAATACTTTGACCTCTTTAGTTGTAAGCAGCATGTGTGTGTGTGTAAATAATTGTGATGAGAATGGACATAATGCAAGGTAGAAACATAAGAAGGGCTCTGCTGGATCAGACCAGAGGTCCAGTATTCTGTTCCCACACTGGCCAACCAGCTGCTCTCAGAAAACCCACAAGCAGGACATGAGAAGGACAGCACTTTCCTACTCACCTTCCCCAGCAAGTTTCCATAGGCATACAGCTTCTGATAGTGGATGAGGCATCCAGACTTCAGGACATGTACCTATTGACACCTTCTCTATGATGAATCTGTTCAGTCACCCTTTAAAACCATCTTAATAGGTGGTTCTCACTATATCTTGGGAAGTAAATGCCATACTTTAAATATGCACTATGTGAAAAAGCCACACACTGGCTAATGCTGTTTCTTTTTCCTGTGTGGATTTTCTTCATGGATCTATATTGTCTCCCATGCTTTCGTAACTCCTATGCACAATTGCTAGATGACAGCAGTGCTCTTAATAGCAGTTGTTACTATCAATGTGCTGGTGATTCAGCTCTTTTTCTCCTTCATAGGTATACTTGCTTCTGTGACTGAATGCCAGAAGCCTGTAGTAGATTAAACTTGAGGATCAATCCAAATGAGGCATTGATACTGATAGCAGGAAACCCTTTAATCTGTGGATTGGTACTGTCTAAGTTTCACTGCTGGGTGCCCTTTTCTCAGCTCAGAGTACTTTTTACCACTGTCCAACCACCTTTATCAAGGACAGCACGCCTACTGTCCCCCATTCTAGAGACAATGAACCTGGCCTTTTGCCCTACATACTCTGACAGCCTCCCATCTCATGTTTCCTGCTTGGGTTGTCAGGCCATTACTGTGCTCAGAGAGGGCTACAGCTGACATGGTCTAAGATGGGTTGGTGAAGTGGTTCCAGAGCATGCAGACCGCATGAGAAGGCAAGGTGAGGCCATGCAGCAGCTTCTCCCAAGGATGAGCTGCTCAGATTGAGGAGTGGGTTCAGATCTTAGGAACCTTCTATGTCCCAATTGGCTGTCAGTACCCAGGCCAGTCCTGAAGTCTACAGGGCATCCATATATTGTAGCCTCCCCCACCCTGGTACATTTCATATGGGATTAGTGCTCCCATCATCTACAGCCAGCAAGGCCAATTGGAAACTAGATGCAACACACCTGGATGGCGTGAGGGTTACGGGCGATTAGAGTATTGTATTAGTTACTTGGCCTGGCAGGCAGCACATGCCTGTCCCTGGAAGCACCTCTAAATGGCGGTGTGATAGAGTAGAATAGCATAAATACGCAAGAGGACATCACTCTTTCACTATTAGAAATAATACCCCATTTTGCCTGCTCTGAAAAAGCTTGCAGATGATACTGTTGACAAACAGAAGCAGAACCAGAGGATTACAACATCCGTTATAGAACCCATAAACAACTGTGGGTAGGGAATGACAAATGCACAAGTACCTTATGTTGGAAAAGTCTTCATGCAAGTTCAAGGGCTGCAGAGGGGAGGAGAGCAAGTGGACGTCTGGTGACTTTGGGTGCAATCTTAAAATCAGAAGCACAACAATTTGCATACGCTTTGGAAAGTGTGAATTTATTAAGTTTGTACCAAAATGCAGCAGAATGAAATTCTTTTCCTTTGCTGACTAGAAATAGCAAACAGAAAAATTATAATGGAAGTCCATTTTTTTTAAAATGAGAAAAGCTAGTTAACATTCCTCTGTTTATCATCGCTTCCCATTCCATTCTTAGGAGTGGGATGCTTCAAGCCTGTTCTTGGGCTACTTGTGTGTCCTTTTTCACTGTTTCATTGTTCCTCAAAGCTCTCCCCACACACATATAGATGGGTTCTGAGGTCTTCTTTCTCTTCCAACATGCAACAAGGATATAAACAAAAGGGTCGGCACTGTACTTGATGGAATCAAACAACACAGAAAGTAGAAATGCAAATGGTGAATCTAGTTTTTGATGCCAAGAGGAAACAGCATCAACAGTTCTCATTGAAGAAGCAAAGATCAGACACAGAAGGACCATGATGATGATGATGATGTCCAGCTTTGCTGGAAGCCTTTGCCTTGCTTTCCTTTGCATCCCCCAAAAAATGGCAAGGGTGGAAAATAACATAATGGGCAAGAAAACACAAAAGTTGACAGTAATTGCAGATATAGTTGCAGCACTACAATAGGAACTGTCCATGTTGTGAGATGAGAGGAATCTTGGGAAACAGGCAATATAGACCCCCAGTGACATCAGGAAAGAGCAGGACCACAAAAAAACACACACCAAGCGGGTCTTTGGCTGGTGATGTTGATACCACATTGGGAAAAAGACCACGAGGAACCTTGTGGCACTGATGACTGTTAAAAAGTATGTGCTGGCATTGTACCCAAATAAATAAATTATCTCCATTGCACGTAGAAAGTATATATTGATATTAAATGGTGTCAAAAATAAACAAAATGCTGTAAAGTAGTAGGCAACCACAATGAAATCAGCCACTGTCAAATTCAGGAAGTAAATTATGATTCTATTTCTCTTGACCTTGCAGCAGAGAAGCCAAAAGCCAATTGTATTCCCAAATAATCCCCAGATGCAGAAGGGAACAGATACAATGACTATTATTTCCATAAAATTTGGAGTAGCTTCTTTAGTTGACCAATTCCCCAGCTGTGTGTAATTTTTTTTAATCGTGATAGCAGGGAGAGAAGACAAAGATACTGCCTCAGCCATCTTGGTACTATCAATGAGTTCAATATTTTTTCTCAATCTGCCAAAAAATCAAACACAATTTGTTATTATTAAGGTGCTGAGATCTACAGAAGCAGCAAGCTTTCAAGAGGTTCAAGATACGGATACCTGCACTGTAATATTCGTTTGACTATCACTGGTTTTGGCTGGGAAAAGGCTAACCTGGAATGCACACACCTGCACACCTGCCTGCTTTGCAAAATTCATGTCCTTTCATTGCACACAGGCATTGCTGTTGTATACTGGACTGTATACTGCAACATGTCTCAGCTGTACACTTGTCTTCAGGACACTGTTTAGTTTATATACATGTAGAAAAATAGTTACATTAAGGTAATGGATTGCACATAAACCTAATTTCAACTAAATACTAGACCATAATGGAAAATTACAATCTGTCTTACTTGGAATTGGACTGTGCAACTTTGTTAGAGTGTCATGATTTTGGAATTCTGACACCTTCGAGTTTTAAACAATAAGATATAGACTGGGTTCGGACAACACGAGAACTCACAGTCAAGGTCTGCGTTGGTTGTCATTGAACTGAGGTTGTTGCTGACGTTTGCTAGGCTAACAAGAAACAATTCACAGCTCACCAACAACCTATTGTTCCTTTTATTTAGTCTGTGATTCATAATTGTGTCAAACATGGATTTTAGTGAAGAGGGTTACAGACAACATGTTAATCTGTTCTTCAGGAACAACCCACAGTTCAGTGACAACCCTTATTCTGTCCTGGACTGTGGGTTATCATGTCTGAACCTGGGATTTCTAAATGTGGAGATGTATTTTCCAAGATAATGTAGATTTTCTAAATGACTTGATGGCTCTATGATTTGCAGAAATTGTGTTTAGTGTGTCCGAGCCAACATTGTTAACCTTACGATGACATCACCTAAAAACACGTGGAAGGAACTGTGGCTAAAGCATCTACCGTGCATGCCAAAGGCTTCAGGTTCAGTCCCTTCAAACAGGGCTGGAACTGCAATTCTGGACAGCAACTGCCAGTCAGTGTTGACACTGCTGGGCTACATGGGCCAATAGGCTGCTCATTATAAGGCAACCTCTGATGGGCCTATGTAATGCCTGTCTTCCTTTGTCAGACTTTGAATGGTATGTCAGAAATCAAGCAATCTGCATAAGGAAGTCAAAAAGATGCATTAAAAATTATTTTGCGACAGCAAGAGGGGCGTGAAGGTCAAAGCTTTTTCCTATTGTTGCCACTCAGGGACTCGTATTGTGGTGGCATATGGCCTCTGAACGTGGAAAAGGTGTATCTTTTAATAATCTTCATCCAATAGCCACTGAAAACCTCATCCTCCATCTATCGTCTAGCTCCTTTTTAAAGCTATTTAAAGCTCTGTCCTATTTTGCAGTACAACATCCACAAAGTATAAGTTCTTTCATCTGTTTTGCTTCTTCTGCCAATCAGTTTTAATTGGAAAGTCTCACATTTAAATACTGTGTGAAAGGGAGAAAAGTCATCTTATCCGCTTCCTCTGCACATGCACATCTGTGTCCCCTCTTCAGGAACAAACTTGTGTTCCCTGGAAGGGTTGCTGAGAGGCCATGAGAAGTGACAAGGCAGCTGATCTACCAGTGGAGAACAAAGCTAGCAGTGACCGCGTGACAGAGATGCCCCAGGACAGCTGTGAGAAGATCCACCAGGCTCAGTTCAGCTGATGATGTGGACCAAAACGAGCTATGTTGGGAGCATGTAGGAAGGCTTTGGATCCTCAGGGTTCTAAGTTTCCTGCATTTCCTGACACACCCTCAAGCAGAACTTGAAACTCCACCAGCCCCGGAGCTGATGTAGTTGATTCTTTCCTGCTATAGACAGTGGAACAGAGGAGACAAACAAAAATAAGACAAGGAAAAGCTATTCTCCACCTCCTACCCTGGCAGTCAAGGAGTGCTTGTTACAGAATTTGACAGTATGTTATACACCTGCTAACAACCTGTCTAACTGCTCCACCATTACAAATTCTCATCTTGGGGAATACGGCCCAATTTTACCTGTGGCTTTTTGCTCAACGGCCAATGCGAAGCAAGTAACAGTTCTCCTTGTGTGGCAAACCTAGAAAGAAATGTCACAGGCTCAGGCAGCTAAAAGGATTCAGTGCTTCTGAAAGCTTTTCTCCTGCCTACTAAGGTTATTCCAACAAACAGAATATGATGGATAATATCACTGCATTATCTGTACAATAAAAAAGAACCTTGGGAAATTCATGGTCATGGTCAACACACCTCAGAGAACAACCTGGCATTTCGATGGCCTAATTAGCCATGTCAGAGGTAAAGAACGTGTGCAGATGTGGGGATGTAGGGCAACTCTTGCTTACGGTTAAATCGAGAAGAAAGCAGGAGGTAGCCAAACCACAGGTGTCCTCCACTGTAAGAGTTCAGATCCCCAGCTGACATCTCCAAGGCACTTTGTTCAGCCTTCCACTGGACCTTATAGGATCTAAACACACAACAGAATGAAGTGTTGAAATCCAAAAGTGGTGCAAGAGATTGTCTCATTTAAATGGCAGGCCTGGAATACCAATTTGAATACTCCCCTACTTGGAAATAAGGCTTGGCCAGAGTAGATAACTAGCAGAAAAAGAGAAGGGACAGGCTAGGACCTTCCTCGTGGTCAAGCTTGTTTTCTGGCCTGGAACTTGATACAAAGAGGAGCGTTTTAAAAATAGCACTCTTGCCTGCCCCCCATGCTGGCACATTCCTAGCACCCCAGGAGCGTTGTCACCTATTAGCAGGCCTTACCTCTGGAAAGCCACATAGGCTGAAGCAACCCCATCCCCATGAGTCATATGAGCAAAGTTCTTGGCTCCCATGGAATAGCGGATGGTGGCAGGACTGGATAGCTCAGGACCAGTAGGTCCAACTACTAGAACTCTCTTTGTGAGGCTTCAAGTTCCTGTTTCCAGACTTTACAAACTTGAAACGTAAGCAAGTGATGGAGAAAATGGAAAATGGAATGTACCAGCCAATCCTGTCATAGGCAGTTTGTGGACAGCAGAGCCAGGAGGACAGTGCAGGAATTTTCAAAACAAGGAGCAGAACTTGTTCCTCACAGAGTTTGCAGAAAGGTCCAGCAAGGAATCAGGCAAGAGGCCCAGCTGAACACAGGTGGAGCATACGTTGCTCTGGTATTGCTCCAGCAAGGATGTGGGGCTCTATGAGGCATGGCTAGCTTTGCTCCCTCGGGGTGGGGAGGGGGCTCATACCAAATTTTTCAGTGTTTGACTCTTGCTTGACTCTGTAAAGAATTCTGACAGTGAGCCATGTAGTCTGAGAAACGGAGCAAAATGTCCTCCTCAACCTATTTTATTTTATTTTATTTTATTTTATTTTATTTTATTTTTTGTATTTTATTTATTTGATGAATTTTTTTGTATTTTATATGGGATTTTAATGATTGTAAGCCACCCCGAGGCTCACGCGATGGGGTGGCATATAAGTTGTTTAAATAAATAAATAAAACCTATAGAGCGATGGTAGGCCTAGTTCTGGCAAGAGCTGCCTGGACTCGTTTCTCCTCTTCATCATTGCAACCTGGCTCTTCATTGGCCTCTCACTGGCCCAGATAATGACCATGATCAGAAGGAACCACAAGAGCCATGGCCTCCATGCTCCCGGGCTCTCTGCCTATCAAGCAAGCAAGTTGTGGCAATGACAAGGAAGTGGAGGAGGAGCAAGAGCGGCTGGCGGCGATGGGAGTGAGAAAGCTGATTCACTGAGGGAGGGTTGCCCACCCAATGGCCCTCGAACACCTGGAGCTGGCACTGTTGGGGTTCTCCTGGCACAGGGGTTCCTGGTGGTGTGGGGTTCTTTGGGGACTTGTGCTGAGGGAAATTTTCTTCCAGTGCACCTTTTCCACAGTCTCCTACCTTGCTCTGGATTATGGAAAATCCACCCCTGGTCATGACTCTGCCATGCTTCTTGAGAGAAGAAGGCAGAGGCAGGTAACTGATAGGAATATATTTCCCTCTATCCCCTCTTCTCTGCCCCGCCACTGCCACTTCCAGCCATCTCCACAATACAAAAAAGGTGCAGGTATATTATTTATACAGTGATCTATTCACAACTCAAAAAGTTATTGGCAGAAAGTTCTTTGAAAGTTAAAAAACAATCTCCCAGAATGATCAGTCTGGCAAATATTCAGAATGCCAGTTCAACAGAAATGTCATCATGAAATCTTGTTTTTTGTTTTATTTTATCAAGCTGATTGAAGCAGCTGCAGGAGAGAAAAGATATTACCATTGTGATTCCTCTCTAGCTTTCTTTTCAACCTTGTTTAGTCATTCTTCTGTCCTCATCAGGAATTTAATACTGGGAAAGTCTGAACCATCTCACTCTGCAACAAACGGAATATGAGAATATTATGACCTCATAGCAACTGTTATTTGCAGTGTGGCAACTCTCACAGTACTGATCATAAGGCTAGAACTATGTTCTGATGGTTTGTTGGTTTCCTTGAGATGGGGATTGCTTTAACTGACCTGGTAGATGAACTGCATCTATAGACCAGTTGTGTGTAGTGGTTCTCTCAGGAGCATCTGCCACTCACAGCCATTGCCTTCTTCCAAAATGCCCGCATGGGAAGGGAACATAGAGCAGAATTGTGTGGTGGTTTCATTCCTACCATTCATGGAGGTCCCAGGAAACAGCACCAGTTGCACTACTTCTTTCCCATATGGGAGTTTCTCTACTGGATTCTGCAGGGCTCTGCTGTGTGCCCAGTAGTATTTAATGCATGCAAGAAGATAAAGTCATCTCAGGGTTTGTGGCACCATTCAATATTCTAGGCTTAAGCGAAATGTCATTTGGCTTCTCTTCACTCAGCACTGTTTCTCTCAGTAGGTCACACGAGGCTGCCTTGTACAAGTCAGGCTATTGGTAATGTAGCCCAGCTTGGCTGACACTGACTGGCAGCCGTTCTCCAGTGTTGTAGGCGGAATTCTTTCCTAGCTGTACCT